AATTTTTACAATACAAAAACTATCTCGTTCACTTTACGACTTCAAATCCTATCAAATCACTCATAAGAAAGTTAACAAAAAAAAAAAAATTGTATTGCATCAACTTTTTCTTTTTGATTTTTCAAGTGAAAAACAAAAAAAAAAAAAAAAAAATTTAATTATTAATCAAAATTTTTTCTAAAAATTTGAATATAATCATAAAAAAAAAAATAAAAAATAAAATAATTAAACAATTTGCATTTGATTAACATAAAATTAACACATCGTAGAGTGAATCGCACACACACCTGAATGACTTTTTAACCTCGATTCGAATTCGTAATTTTTATAAAAAGTACTTCAAAATAAAAATTATGCTTACGCTTACAAACAACAAGACTTATTCGAAAAACTTGAGTAATTTTTTTTCCCTTTAAACTTAATAAGCAAGTTGTAACAAGGAAAAAGAGAAAACGTGAAAGAAAAACTTTTTTTTTTTTTTTTTTTTTTTCCAGGACTTTACAGGACGGATTTGAAAACGACCCGAAATGTGTGCAATTTGAGTTGTTGCCTAACCTACCGCAATTTTCATGTAACATTTACTCCCTAATTACATCATTTAGGTTTTTTTTTTTTTTTTTTTCCTTTTTTTTCCTTAACATCAAAATTATTCTCAATGCCGTCATTATGACGACAAATTAAACTTATACAAAACTAAATTTTTGACCATAAAATGTAAGAAAAGAAAAAAAATTAAAGCTATAAACAAAATTTGATACTTTTCGGGGTAACTGTTTTCTAAAAACAATTGCGAAAACGAATTATCCTAATTTTTTAGTACGATTTACGAATTAAGTTTTTTTTTTTCTTTGTAAATCTTAATCCTTTCCATATCGTATTTAATCCTAATATCTTAAACCTTTCGCATATTCAAAAAAAATTAAAACCCATCACCCTAGACATTCACCATCCATCCTCACACGTACTTTTTTTTTTTTTTTTTTTTTAATTCGTTAATTGGGTTTTACTTGCTTGCTTTCGAACCCGAATAACTTTTTCAAAAAAAAAAAAATATTAATTACCTTTAACGCGCGATAAAATTTTACAGTGTTTTTATCATATGAAGATGTAAATTACAAGCAGTTAAAATATTATTATTATTATTAATAAAAAAAACACCTTGAGCATTTAAAATTTTGACCGTGATTAAAAATCGGGTGAACGTTCTAAACGAAAAAAAAAACATCCACTCTATGGCATATATGGCATCATTGTTGGAAAACTAAACACGTTCAAAACACTCAAATCAAAAAAATTAAAAAGAAAAAAAATTATCAGGAAACATGCCAGAGAAAGACGTCTTTGACTTTGACTATTTTTTTTTTTTTTTTTTTTTTAAACCGCGATAGTTAACAAATCTTTGATTTTCTATTCTAAACTAAAAGTTAAAACTCTCTCTCCCTCTCTCTTTTTTATTTTACTCAAATTAAATAATAATAATAATATTAATAATAGACATTCTATTTAATGATTCCAACACCAAATTTGTAAACCTCTTATTGTATTTAAACCTCCTCCTCTCTATACCCCCAATTAAAAAAAAAAATTGATACACATTCGCACGTAAAACGTTTGTGTTTGTGTGTGTGTGTGTGTGGGTGTGCGTGTGATCGTATATAAGGTTTTAACGTTTAATTTTTAAACTAAAAATCCTCGTACAATATAATGGCAAAACGATTCGAATAATTTAAAAACTCATCGATGCATTCATTCAATCTAATTTTTTTTTTTTTTAATTGCACCTCTTTTCTTTTATAAATTTAAATTTTTTTGAACTTGAGCCTGTGTGTGCCTATTTTTTTAAATCTAACATTAACCGATTTTTGATATTTTTTTTTTTTTAAATAAAATTTTAATATATCTTTTATTATTTTTCGTCTAATTTAACTACCAAGTATCTATCAATCATTGCGAGTAAACAAAAAAAAAAAAAAAAAAAAAAAAAAACGTTATTTAAAAAAAGTCCCAGCCATCTTTGTCATTTTTATTTATGTAAAATTAATTCAAAAATAAAAAAATTTAAAAGCGAACGAAAAAAAAAAAAAAAAAAAAAACTTTGTCTGTGGAATATTACTTGTAAGCGTATATAATAATAATAATAATAATAATAAAATACGACAAGTCAATAAAAGTTAATTTTCACAATTTTGTCTAATTAAAACAATTACCTCTCATTTCCCTAATTTTTACTCATTATTATTATTTTTTGTTTTTTTTTTTTCAAATAGAAGAAAAACGACAACTATACTTAATACCCTAAATAATAAAATGAGTATCTAACTATATTAAATTTAAGTATTATTATCATTATTATAATTACTTTAAAAATTTGAAATATAAAAAGAAAGAGTAAAACAATAATAAACATTAGTTTTTTTTTGTTTTTCTCATTTCATTATTTTTTAAATTGAACCAACAAGGATTTTTTTTTTTTTTTTTTTTTTTTGAAGGGGAGGGAGAGGAAAATCATGTTTAAATGCGTTTTTTTTAAAAAGATGCTTTTTAGTGTGACCTATAAACGTGATTGATATCTCTCTTATTTGACATTTTACGTTTATTTTAGTACTAAAAGCATTTAAACGACGACATTTTTATAAAGGATAGGAAAAGCGTCAGAAAATAATTTCGATCAACGATTATTATCCCTGATTTCACAATGGCACAAAAATTAAAACAATTTTCTCTCTCTCTCTCTCCCCCCCCCTCTCTCTCTCTCCCCCCTCTCTCTCTCTCTTTCTTGCGGCAACGTTTATTAATAATAATAATAATAATAATTTTTTTTTTTATTGTTAAAACTAGCGGAAACAATGAACCAATTAAATTAAATTATTCACCTTGTAAACTAAAGAAAAAATATTTAAGAAAATTAACGAAAAAATAATAATAATAATAATAATAAAAAATATACCTAGACGTAATCCTTTTAGAAAATAATAATAATAAATATTTCGTTCGTTTTTTTTTTCTTTTTTTTTTTTTCAACTTCAATCACCACACAATGAACCGAACGCGGCTATGATTGAACGAACGAACGAACGCAAGAGAAAATTCAGTGTGCCCTTTCGTTCGTACTCCCCTCCCCCTCCCCCCCCACTTTTCCCTCATGGCGCTCTTTAAATATATATACTGTTCATATTTTCATCAATAAAAAATTTTTTAACTGCTTTTTTTTTTCTACCAAACTTTATACGTCATACAATTTTTTTTCAAATCAACTTAAGAGTAAATTTTCATACGTACAAATAATAATAATAATGAAATCTTCAACAACAACAACAAATAGAAAAATAAAATGAATTTTTTTTTTTTTGTTAAGATAAAAAGTCATTGTTTTATACGTTAAAAAAAAAAAAAAAAATTATTTAAAATTTAGGAGCGTATCGTCGCGAATAAAATATTTAAAAAAAAAAAAAACAGAGAAAGCTATTTATTGAATGAAAGGATTCTTATAGTAGGATTTGCTCTGATAATTTTTCTTTTAAAAAATAAAATTATTAGGTTCAATGAGAAAATTTAAAACAAAAACCAACGAAAT